GCTTAGGGCGTCAAGCAAATAAGCCAGCCTCGTTTTTTAGCATTGACAGCGTATTAATTAACAGTACCAGCTGAAAAAAAACACAATCCTTGGAAATATTTATATTATTGTATATTATGTATATTATTTCCCACTGAACATGATCCACTGCTACAAATAAGCGATATCTTTTTTGCTGTATAAAATAATTTACAATAATATTTTATCTCCTTATTCTACTTTCTTCGTTTCTTATTTTTCTCATCCCTCACCTCTCAACTCTCTCATTTTCCCTCCTTCTTTCACCCTCTTTTCTCCCTTTCTCTCTATACTCTCCTTTATGTCTTTCCTGATCGGTCTAATCACGAACTTTCTTTTCTATTTCATTCACTCATAAGATTTTTTTCAAATTCCTAACCATTGTTACACGCAAGGAAATAAACTCTCTCTCGAACTTTGCCTGTGGGGTCACAAAGTAATTACTCAAAGAAACATGTTTACACATCTCGCTCGTCTTACTAACTGCATGCATGATCTGATAATCTGCTCATTAAATGACAGATACCGTTTCATCGTCTTATGAGTTGGTGTTAGGAAACGAACCATTTTGGGGTTTCAAAACAATATAAGTCGGACTGTTCGTAGGACTTCGGAATTACTGCGCCTGAGTCTCTGTCATCACAATGACGCCTGTCATCTTGCTTTTGTTTGTCGTCGCAGGAGTCTTGGTGAGTTCTACAGTCTAGCCGTTTTGGACACTTGCAGCACCGTCATCAAAATTATATAAGAGTTATAATTGTTATGTGGGAATTCTGGTGTAGTATTGTTGACGAAAATACATGATGGAATAATGGAAGTCATTTGCGTCAACTTCGTCAACTTTATAGAGTTATTTACAGTCAGCGACAGTCTCCCGACTTTCATCGCACACAGCAAGACTGATGATGACGGCAAAGCTGTTGAAAGCCGGGAATTTAGTCGGGAATTTATTGACAATTTCTCGTGGTATTACCTATGACTATTCCACTTATGAAAATTAAAAACCAATAGTGTTTAACTATTCATACAAAATGCTCCAATCAGGACGGTGTATCTCAGAAAGTTTTTCGCTTTTTCTATCCTTTTTTTTTACTTCTTCCACTTACTGGCCAATTATAAACTGTGACTTATCTATTTTAGGAGGCGTTATATTTCAATCGCTATGTCAATTTCCAATAAACAGCATATGTACAACAATATAACGTCTAACTGCTTTCAATTATTTTCAATATTTGGTGCCTTTTGGAACTATTTTGGACATAATTTCACTCGTGGGATAGTCTATTACATTCAACTCGTGCTTTGGAAGTTCTCAGATAAGTCCCCTCCCTGCTTCGCGAGTCGGGAATTTATCGACAAGTTCCAAAGCACTCTTTGTCTTACCTATGATAAACGACAAATATGGCTTTATGATTGGGTCCAGCTAGTTTCATTTTATATACAAAATAAACACATTCTTTATCCAAAATTCTTACCTTTGCAACGTGTTTCTACGCATTCCATCTGCGAATTCTTAAGTGGAGGAATATATAGTTTTTTAGTATAGCATATTTTCCTCAACATTTTCAAACTTACACCAAATGTTTCAAGACGTAATGTTTAACAAACATTTCAATAAACGCAATGATTTACGTTTCGTTTCTGTACAATCGGAATGTTTTATTGTGTTTTATTAAAAAACACTTTCATTTTTCAGTATTTTTATTTTAGTTTTCGAGACAACTCCATCCCCATTACCTAGATCGAAGTCAGATTTTCGGAAAATCGTAGAGGATTGAACTCTTCTGCAATAAGAATATTTTTGAGAGAAAAATGCAGTTCATTTTGTGAAAATTTGATTTATATATTATTGAAAATGAGAATTTTTAGTGTCCATAGCCTCAAAAAATTAAGGATTTTTTGAAAAATCATAATTAGAGGTACTTCAATGATTCTGTGTTAACAAACGTATTAAAACTACGAAATACACCGATAACGTAAATTTCAACGTCATGAGACAGTTAAAAAAGCCATATATGTAAATTTTTAAATTTTTAATTAAAATAGTGCTTATGTGATGTGGTTAAAGTTATTTTGCTCTAAACGTTCTAAAAATTTAAAGGAAAATTTGGAGAAAATCTTGTTCTACAAATTAACCATATTTTACTAAAAATTGCACGTAATCATTATTCGTGAAGTTTTTTTTAATATTTAATTTATTGCAGTGTTATACGATAATATTTGGTTTATTGTCCCCGTGCACTGTATGAGCTACTTGATGGAAAACCTTTTTTGGAGATTTCGCTCACCACAATTTTTGCTGCCGTTGACCACCACTTTTAAAAAATGGCTCATGGAAATATTAAAGAGTAATAGTTTTCCATTACCATCCATGTTCTTTCATATTTTGGTACATCTTATAAGATAATTGTTCGATCTCCTTCATTGTTGAAAAGCACACAGATTCCACTGCAGTTTGTCTTTCAACCTTCGTTGCTTCCTTAATAATATAACAAACACATTAAGACCCAATCTTTTTATTGACAAACACCTTTTAATTACTTTATTCACCTACACACCGTTCAGTTTCGGAGAGAAACTTTATCTCCATCTCCAGACAACTGAATACTACATTTTTATACATTGTGTTATTCTTGATTCATTGCATAAGTATTATCATCACTGGTTTTCATGCATATTCATTATATTCTTAGTTATCGCCTGTGACCTCCCACTCGTTGTCCGTTATGCTAATCGCAAATGAACTTTTCTAGCCGGAAGTCAGCGATTATCTACATCGTCTATGAATCTAATATAAAATTACACGATGAGTCATAAGTTTACATCCTAATAAAACAATGTAACAGGGCTAAATTGTTTGCAGATTATTTTCTTTATCTTTTTACCTTTCCAGTCACCCAATTGCACTCTTTGGCATTGGTGCACTGCACGTCCTTTTGCTATATAATATAATCTTTTGGATACTTGGATATTGCGTTACAGACAGTAAGTTGCGATAGTGAAATAATTATTCCAATTCTACATTAATTGCAAGAAGTTTGGAATAGTTATATCAAATCATGTCGAATCATTAAATTATTAATAATAACGAAATATTTCGAAATAAATATTTAGATAATGTTTGAGTGAAATAACTTTTCATATCCTATACAAATCCATTTTTTATTTCAAATTATTAACAGAATGTAAATTTCTTGAAACTGGGACATCTATTATTAAGACAGAATGAACTACAAAACTCTTGATGTGTAATAGTAAGAAGTATGAACTAAAGGTTAATAACTATTAATTTATTTATTATTGATTTAACGACAAAAATAGTTTGGGGTGAAAAAAAATTGTAATTCGGATTTAATCATTACTGGTTCTTAATATGGATCATACATCCTTTTTTACAAGTAGAAAAGAATATTAATTATTTATCAATATCAATCAAATTATTAATCGATATTAATCAAATAATTATCTCGTAGCAAATAATTGTTCTAACAGATGAGTGTGCTTTCTTTACAGGGGGCAGACACGTCTCCAGGAAGTCTCTACCGTGAAATCATTCGCCCTGATGCTGTGGATTGCCAGAAAGAACTTCACGCCTCAGACGGTAGGAGAGATGGGCCGCACAGCCAGTATTAAGATAATATAAATTTATTTAAACTGCAATTCGGTATAACCCGGTGGCAATTAATTACATAAATAAGGTAATATAATTTCGTGCAAATAATATAATAATAATGGTAATAATAGTAATATTATAAAAACTAACGATTCAAGAAACATTAAATTACATGAAGAAAAAGAAAAGAAACGTCTATAATCTAAATCCAAACTGAATGTTTCTTACAATTAAGACCGCGCTGCACTGCCCTTCACTTTACTGCACTTCACTTCTCTTCACTATAAAACTCTAGATTTAGATTAATTCAGTCAAAAAAACAGTAAAAACTGTATGTGACGTAGGGGGGAAAAGAAAAACACTTCCTTCATTATTTCTCTTCACATTGCACGACACCTCACTTCACTATATAACCTAACATTCTTAGGTAAAGTCATAAACTTAGGAAGTTCCTAAATTAACTTCTTAAACTGTTGAATGCTTCTAGGAAGGGGTTCTAAGTTCTTTTGCAGGTAATATATTCTATTCCGTTATCTTGCGATTTGTGAAAGAGAATTTCCCGACATCCGTTCCCTGCCTGTAGCTAGCAGCACTATCGCCGAAATATTGTCTTTTCTCTGCGCAAATAAAGAGATTCACTCATTCTGTTCGAACCAGTTCGAACTTCGTAGTTTTGTGAAAGGTTGGAGACTGTTTTTGGACAGAACATAAGCAATTTTTGGTTTCTTATGCATTTGTGTGCTGAAGATTTTGAGAATATAAAATGCCAAAAAGGAAATTTAAAATTAACGATGCCCCAGCCAGTAAATATCCTGTGTTCGAAATGGAAAGGAAAGACTCTTAAGAGCATAGATTGCCTAGCTGGACAATCTTCGGCTCTATTTCAAATTAAGGTTCGTTAATTTTTGCATTTGTCAGTACTTTGCATCTATCAGAATACTTCCTTAAATATGGAATATAGCACATTCAGACACAATGTATCACAGATTCCATTATAATTAAAACATCATGGACTACCCTCTGTTTTTCACTACATTACCTCCATTTTTTACGCTCTTGACCTCTATTTCATCGCTGAGGATCTGGTCACCCTACTTTAAATAACAGAGTGGAGATAATAGTTAGGTGGTGCAGTAGATTGATCGATTATTTCGTGTTTCTGGGTGCGTCAACAGCTATGGTCATTACTCCCGTAAGTAGTGGATGTTATATCTCGGGAGGTGGCGTTGTTCCACGCTGGAAACTGAGATTCGGGGTTCCTCATCCAGGTATCTCCCTCAGCCAGACAATCTCCGCGAGGAACACCGCCGCCTGCCAGTATACAACTTCACTTCACGGGGGTAAAGGACATAGCAGTTGACGTGCCTGGAAACAGCAGTTAAATAATTAATAAATCATATAATGTCATATCAAATAAAAGAAAAGTGGTGGTGATAAAAAAATCTGGGTTTTGAAGTAAATTAACAAAAGAAGAGAATAAGTAGTAGTAGAAGAAGAAGAAGGAGTAGAAGAAAATGAAAATTGGCCATTTTTAGGGAAGGGATTCATTCAGAATGATGTGTGTTAATCGCCCACTGACTTTCACATATGGAATGAGTATGTATTGTAAGCACTAAATTCTGTAGTGCAACCACTTTGAGAAAGCTATGTTCTTATGCACGAAATTTAATTTACATAATAAATACTGTAAGACAGTTTATTCGTGTTCAATAAATGTTGTTAAATAGTTGATCTCAGATATTATTTACTTATGATGATTACGATAATGCATGTAGAAGTTTCACACACTGTTATTGTCTATATTTTTGTTTTGTTATCTTTTAGATGATGTAAAAATACTGTTGGATATGAACACAGACAAGTTCACTGAGAATGCAAAGGTGAGTTAAATGTTATGATCTTCAGTAAGTTTCTCTTTTGTTTTTGTAATGTAAATATCCTTTGACATGCAGGAACAGTTATGCACTGTTGAATGAAGAGTTGTAATTTGTTCATATGTTTAGATATATGTTGTAATAAAATTGTGCAATAAACATTAACAATATAATGTGATTGTAAAGATAAAGTTTTTAAAGAAAACGGAGTAACCTAGAATTGCAAAGGCGACTTATCCAAATAGTCCAAAAGGACTTTTTCTTTTCTTTTTTTTTACCTCCATTTATTTATTATAGTTGTATAAACTTCTAGGTCATGAGTGACCACATTGTTTTTACAAAATATTTACAATATTTCAACCAAACAATTATTTAAAAATTATATGAAAAACATACTATAAGTACAAATATTACAAAATGGTACACAAAAAATAAAAACAAATTTTATTACATTAATACGATCTTAATAATGGTATTATTTTTAGATACCTGGTATTTAACTTGATGAGAAACAAAAATAACATTTGCCATAACATCATATTCCTAGAATATTTGATTGGTATTTTATTTAATATACAGCTTTTTTTATTACTATTCTTAATTTATTTTTGCTTAGGTTGGGAGCTACTGTACAATAATGAGAAATTTCCTAATTAGTCTAATTGGAATGAATAAATGAAATGAATTTCTGAGCCAAAGTAACATATTTATTGTTAATTATAAGTTTGTGTATAGTATCATCATATATTTTAAAAGTAAATAACATCAGTCACCTTCCATGTAAATGAGTTACTAAGCATAATTTAAATTGCAAGTATTATTGATTGTATTACTCTAATCATTAACAGGCATAGATCAAATGAATTGTATATTACATAATACCAAGATGAGATTTCACATGATGTCACATATTTTCTTTACATATATCTTTGTTTTGAAGCATCATATAAGTTAAGTTGTTTCTAGTAATTTACAGATATTTTGTTGTTTAGCTCAATGAGGAAGTAAATCACATTATATACATTACTTTTATCATTTAAAAGTGTTTGTATGTTGTTTGAAAAATTGTATTTTTTTTAAAAATAATTTAAATGTGGGCAATGCACTAATATATGGATGACTGGGATAGGTAGATGACATGTTTCACGGAGATTTGGGGATTTCTTTGCTATTAGATGTTTGTGAGTCAAGGCTGAATGACCTATTCTCAAATGAGTAAGTAGCATTTGATCACTTCTTTTTTGAAGGTAAGGAGCATGGTCTTCAAGAACTGATTTTCTGATCACGTACAGTTTACTAGGTGGTGAACTTTTCCATTCAGTGTCCCACAACTTCTTGGTTTTGTGAAGAAGTACGTTTTTTATATCATTATGTGAAACATTATTGATGTTCAGAGGTAAGGAGAAAGCTAGTTTAGCTGCTCTGTCAACTAATGCGTTGCCTGTTATACTGATGTGCGAGGGAATCCAGACAAACACTATTTCTTTGTTAATGTTTAACAATTCATTATACAGATTGATGTTTTTTTATTATTGGATCTAGTTTGGAGGTACTACTGAAGCTTTCTAGTACACTTCTCAAATCAGTGTAGAGTACAAATTTGGAATTTGACATATCTTTGATGTATTTTTGGGCTCTGTATATGGCGTTAGCTTCACAATAATATACAGAACATATATCATTAAGCTTGAAAGATTGTGTTTGACCATCAATTAATAGAGCACATCCAGAGCCATTAGTGGCTTTGGAACCATCTGTAAATATGCTGGTGTATTGACTGTAAGTAGATGACAATTTATTAAAGAGAGCTAGATATATTTGTGGACATGTGTCAGTTTTCCTGTATTCATTAAGACTTGTATTAATAGTTATTTTAGAAGGAAGCCATGGAGGCCATTTAGTATTAGTATCAGGATTTATCAGGGAAAATGTGTAGTCTATTATATCGAGGTATTGTTTTAAAAATTGATATGCTGGTTTGAGGGAATTAATTTGCTTTGGTATTGAACTGAATATCTTGAAGAGAATATATTCTTATGTGCTGGGTTACAGGAAGATCACGAGATTTTGCTGGCATAAGAGAAAGTTATTTTCCGTTTTCTAATGAGAAGGGCCTCTCTTCACCTTTGGCATGGATACTAGAGACTGGACTTGTCCTAAAAGCTCCAATTGCCATTCGCAATCCATTAGTATGGATAGGGTTGTCTGTTTAATATATATTTTTTTGTTGATTGATATATGATTGATCCATAATATATTTTGGGATGAATGAGGGTTCTGTAAGTGGACAAGATAATATTTTTATTTGCACACCATGAAGTTGAAGAAATAGCTTTAATGATATTCATTCTGAGAAGGCATTCTATTTTTAATGCATTGATGTGTGATTGCAAGGTTATATTGTTGTCAAATATCATGCCTAGGATCTTGATTTACTTTTCACAGTTAATTGTTTGAGAATTTATATTGAGTTTTAGTTGTACGTTGCAGTTTATGTTCTTCCTGAAGATGATTCATTTTACTTAGTTTGTGAGAATTTGAAACCAACTTTGTTAGACCAATTTTGTATTGAATCAGAGGAGCTTTGTAGTTGTTGCTGAATAGTTTTAGGGGTTTTTCCACTAATATGGTGGTATCACCAGCAAACATATATATTTTTACTGGTTTCTGAATAAGTTCAGCTATATCATTTATGGCTATAAGGAACAAAGTAACACTGGGGATGGAGCCTTGGGGTAAACCGTTACATAGTTTGTGTTTGTCGGAAAGGGTGTTATTGAACTTAACTTGGAGAAATCTTTCACGAAGAAAGTTGGCGATGAAGATTAAAATATATTCGTCTATTCCCTTATCATACAGTAGTTCTGTCAGACAGTAAGGTTCTGTCTTTCCACACCATGTCATAACCTTTTTCTATATTGAGGCTGATTAGTGCTAGGTGTTGGTTTGTTATGAATGCATCGCATATGTTGGTGTGGATGTTCATGAGATGGTTCATAGTTGATCTATTTCTTCTAAATCCACATTGGAAGGGTGATAGTATGTCATTGAGTTCTAAATACCATATTAGTCTTTTGCTGATTACCTTTTCCATTAGTTTACAAAGGGTGGAAGTTAATGAGATTGGTCTTTAGTTGACAGAATTGTTTATGTCTTTATTTGTTTTAAGAATTGGTAAAACTATTGCTTCTTTCTGCTTGTTAGGGAATGATCCAGAGATTAAGAATTCATTGAATAGGATAGTAATATATTCGATGGCACTGATTGGTAATTCTTTCCAAAAAAATGCCATCTGTACCTGGGCTGGACTTCCTAAAATGGGAAAGAACAAAAGTAATTTCTTGAATTTGGAAAGGATGATTTAGTATTGGATGGCAAGAGGTATTTAGTTGGAGTATTTTATCTCTTATGACACCGGAATTTAGTTTGTGCAATTGAAATTCATCACTGAAATTTTTGTCGCTTGAGTTATTAGTAAAGGTCTGAGCCAAGGTGTTGGCTATTTCTTTGGGAGTTTTAAGCACTCTATTATTCACTGTTACAGTTTAGTGTGAATGGAAGGTTTGTATATACCATTTATTGCTTTGATTTTATTCCAGTTATCGATTATGCTTGAAGAATTATTTATAAATGAGATAAAGGTTTCCCATCATTTTCTTTTGTTAACTTTATATGTTCTTCTTGCTAGGGCTCTCGTTCTTTTAAATACTATTTGATTTTCAATTTTTGGGAGTCTCTTATATTTAATAAAGGCTTGTTCGTGTATTATTTTGACAACCAAAAGGACTTTTATAACATCCTAAAAGTTCAGGAAACTAAATCACTAGGTGTAATGATTTCCTTGATGTGGAATGATTTAAGAAGACTGATAATGTCTGTCGCCTCCCGTCATGGTAGTCTGTCAATGACAATGGTGATAATGAACTTGATGTTTCGGAGCTAATGTTAGCAAACGATTTGAATACTTCAACGTAACAAATAGTAATTGTATAATTTAAATTTTAATATAGAATTTTCCAATTGTGACTGTGCATAGAAGTTAAAATAAATATTTAATATCACCTCAATTTTAATATTTGATTTCTAGGTGTACATATTATTGCAATAACTTGCTCATGTCATACTTGTATCCTGTAATAAATATCGATAATGTTATTGATTATTGGAAAAAATGTGATAATATGGAGTTGTAATAAAACTTTCTTAATTATGATAATGTTTAATTAGCCTGTTATGTTTGGCATCTACAACTAAAAGTATTAATTTTGACAGACAGTAATTTTTGCTTTCTCAGTACGGTGTAGAGTGAAAGTTATGTAATGCTGCTCGAAACACGAATTTTCGGCAGAAAAACTTTAATTACTGGGCCCTGACTACAAAAAGGTTGATAAATCCAGATGCTAGATTTAAAAACAAAAGTCTAACACTTTTTGTAGCCAGAATCCGTTTTGTGGGTCCTTGATACCGAAAAATCGAATGACGGCAAAACATCTGTCTGTCGGTCCGTCCGTCTGTGAACAACGTCAGCGCCTACACCGTTCAGTCGATTATCTCCAAAAATATTGGTTATATCGATATCTTCAATCGATCTGGGTGATGTCGCGGCCTCTTGACTTTAAATCCGATATTTTAATTTTAGGGGGTACTTTATACAAAGCCCCCGTGACATTCTTAAATTTAAAAAAAAATCCATTGTTTTTTATTACATTTAGTTTTTTGGATAACGTAAAGCACGTTTAAAAAATGGTGGAGGTTTCGTGTTCATTGAAAACCCTTATTTTTCGAAAATAGTAAAAGTTCAAAATATAATTCGGAATCTTCAACAACTAAAATATTGAGATAAACTTTTTCTCATTAATGAAATCTGTTCTTTAAAGATAGATTTTCAAATAAGGTCATGTACAGTTTTTCGATTCTTTGAGCACTTTTCGCATAACATTGCGTCAAAATACGGTCAAGAAAGTAGGTGTTGTTTTGACACCACTAGTTTAATAACAAGAAATGATATTGCGACAGTGCCTGGCGGCGTGCGTGCTGGAGAAGCTGGGCTTCATGAAGGACGGGCGGCTGGTGCCCTACGACAAGAACGAGGAAGAGTACAAGGTGCTCGACGTGGAAGAAGACGAAGTGAAGAAGTGCGGAAGGGAAGGTAAGACCTTTTCGCCCCTTCGGTGGCTCGGAGACAACACTGTTCCCGCTGCAGCGTGTTTAGCTGGGAGATCCTGGGGTTCCCCCGAATTTCGAAGGCGGTGATGGAGCGCTGCCCGGCTCAGTCGAGCGACCTGTCACGCGCCTTTCGCTAGACTCGAACTGATCGCGTCTGAGCGAATCCTCTGGCCTCCCGTTGGGCTGGCTCGATCAGCAGCAGGCCACGCCGGTCTCCCGCTGATAAGGGCTGGGTCAGGGCACGCAAAGTGAGCCGATCACTTGAGAAGCCCTTTTTTACAGCAATACTTCACTATACTAGAGTCGGTAACGCCCGAGCGCTCTCCCAACCTTCCTGTGGGGCTGCAGTAAGCCTCACCGGTTGCCCGAATGTATGCGCTGGGCCAGGTCACGCCAAGTGAGCTCTTGAGAAGCACTGGTTTAAAGTTCCTCACGAAATTAAAATATCTAGTGGCGCTGCCTGGTCGCTTACGCGTCAATTCAATCTGGCGCGCAGCCATAACACTTGTATCTCTCCCTTCCTCCCTGTCTCTCCCTTACCCCTCATCGCTCCGTCTCTTTCCTCCGCCCCAACCCATTCTTCCTTTCACTCCCCCAGTTGGCCTCTCACTACACAAACTTGACAATAGCGGTGGATGTATTTAATTGGCTGCTCGGGTGACGCCGCGTCCATGGCAAAGGTGCCGACGTTTCGGTCGCCATTCTGCGATCTTCCTCAGGGCGTGATGAGGAAGGCCGTTTCGGTCGCCAGTCTGCGACCTTCCTCAGGGCGTGATGAGGAAGGTCGTTTCGGTCGCCATTCTGCGACCTTCCTCAGGGCGTAATCGCAGGAAGGTCGCAGAATGGCGACCGAAACATTCTGTACCTTTGCCATGTACACGGCGTCACCCGTACAGTCATTTAAATACTGGCTCCGGCCGCGGCAGCCTACACTCTCAGCGGTGGATGTGCCCGAAGAATCAATCCATCCATCGCACAATGTGCGACGTGTGTTTCAGCGCACGAGAAGTTCAGCGGAAAGAAGTGCCTCATCGCCCATTCCGCCATGGACTGCGTGCTCAAGAAGATGTTCGTTTAGCGCGGCCTCTGGCTGGGCGAACTGTGTGCATTGGGGAATAAAGATGCTACTGACTACTTTGGCTGTCTTTTTTTTTTACTTAACGGTTTTTTCACCATAGTGTAATCGTTAGAATCCCACTTTCCACTATCTGCGCATGCGCCAACTGCAATGCAGGGATTGTGCGTCGCGGCCATATTGTTGGGGCGTAGAAGTGATTGATTAAAATGATCTTTAGATTTGATTTACTTTAATACTTTTGTCATTTATGCTCACAAAATAATTTTGTACCATTACTCTATAGTTTATTTGTAATGTATATGATTTATTTTACTAATTAATTGTGGATTACTCGTAATTGAACCCAGCGAATCCTTTACAAATAGCCTATTGTATCACTTACTAACTGGTGTCGTATCTTTAGCAGACCTATATTAAACCTTGTCGCCAAGGGAGCCGCGGAAAGTTTCGTTTTAGTCAGCGGAGTCGCGGACGACAAATGTTGGAAAACCCCAAACTCCTGCGCTTAAGTGATAGGGAAAACGCTACCCCACCTGTATTAGCCAGTGCTATTACATTACTTTGCTGCCCACTAAACTAGTAAGGTGATCACTAGGGCTTGGACTTTCAGGTAAATACAAAGTTTTTTCTTCTTAATTCTTGAGCGTGGAAAGTTTCGTGGAAATCACGTAGCGCTACGGAGTTTCAAGTTGGGTTCCGTATAGAATTTGCATATCACCTATAAATAAATATTTTTTTCTTAAGCTGCATAAAAAAATGTTGAAACTAATATTATGACAGTTTGCTAAATATTATATATATATGAATAAATTGATGTGAATATTTTCAAAATTAATACTTTCGAGTTTTGGGATATATGGGGAAAGACGAGTTTGGAATGCAGAGGTTGCTCACACATGTTACCGTGCGCCTTTCCCGATTGAGTGGAGTGTCTAGTTCATGCCCTGTGAAGACCATTCTAACACTACTTTCAATTCAGGCAATGCCACTCCAACGATAATATTCCCTTACAACACGAACTGCTTCTAGACGTTCTCTGATACACAGACCAAACGTGCAAAGTGTTAGAGGAAGACGTCTTGTTTTACTTTCAGAATTCTCCAATTTTGATTACAGTTTCATATGAGTAATAAATATTTTCGTCACTTTAACCGAAATCGTGCTCAAGTAGTTTAAATGCATTACATAATGTACTTTTTCCTTTTTAATGCACACTCCAGACAGGTGTACTGAAATGAAAGTCGTGCTGAAGTGAAGGAGTGTGCTGAGATAAAATAGGCATGTTGAGGTGAAAGAGGCGTCTTGTGTTGAAAAGGGCATGTTGAGGTGAAAGAGATGTGCTGAGGTAAAAGGTGTGCGGTGGTGATAGGACCATGTTACGGTGAAAAGGGTGACGTGAAACGAGTGTGCTGAGATGATAAAGGGGCGAACTGAGGTGATAGGGCCGTGCTGAGATGAAAAGAGCAAGTTGAGGTGAAAGGATGTGATGAGATGAAAGGAGAGTGCTGGGGTGAAAGGAATGAACTGAGGTGATAAGATCATGATGATGTGAAAGGCATGTGGTGAAGTGAAAGGGGTATAGTGACATGAAACGGGCGAGCTGAGGTGATAAATGCGTGCGGACATGAAAGGGGTGTACTGGCGTGAAAGGGGTGTGGTGTGGTGAAGGGGACGTGCCGAGGTGAAAGAGGTGTGCTGAGATGAAAAGAGCAAGTTGAGGTGAAATAGTGTGGTGAGATGCAAGGAGTATGCTGAGGTGAAGGGAAAAATATTTGCTTAGTTACAATTCAAATATTCAGCAGTTAACAACATAAAGAAAGCCGAAAAACGAAGAGAAATCGGCAGAAAGTCAACCTTTATTATGGCCACAATCGCCTTCAATACAATTACACAAATGTTGATCTTGGGTTCTGCACAACAGCAGATATTGATAGCGTGGCCACTCCTCCCCCGTGACTTCAGTAGGTGTTCACTAAGGTGCAAAATACGGCAAGGTGGGCCATGTCGCATGTCTGCGTGGGGAATTTCTGTAGAGCTGCAACACAAACAAAGCATTTTAACCCTGTGATGACTAGAAAACAGAATTTATTGCAATAAAAAGTATAAAATATATACTAATATGTATTTATATTTGTATATATATATATATATATATATATATATATATATATATATATATATATATATATATGAGATAAAAATTAAAATTATTATAGTGTTTAAAATTCCTTCGAATCAGCATTTTTCGATCACAGAATGTCGCTGATCCCAACGTAACAAGGATTTGGAGACATGAAAGACAGGTCCACCTCTACAGAAGGTGTGGAGGTGCATTGCGAGGGACACGATCGCATTAACGGAACAGCATTTTCTCTAGTCCACACTAACACTGCGTATTCTCGTGCAATTATATCCCTCTTCATCCACTCGTTTCTATAATTACTACTGAGTTTAATTATAAAAGTTTTAGTTGAGTTAATATGACGCTCTCTGTGGATTTGTTTATTAGATATGAATCAACCTGTTTTTAGTAATTTTCTTAGCAATTTATTTTGAATAATTTCTTGATGTTAGTAGATAAGGCAATACACCAAATTAATTCAATTGAACAAATTTCTATTGGTTCACATTATTTATATTACAAACGATACACTTTTTGTACGGGAAAATTTAACCTTCTCAGTTCATTAAAAGTTATTTTATTGGTATGGAAAATTGGAACATCTTTAAATATGACAGTAAAGTTTTAATAGTAGGATCATGGTATGATAAATATTGAATGTTATTATTGTCCCAAAATGTTTTGTAGTTTCTGAAATCATCGTAAACGAGGAAGTAAAAACCTTTTGAGGTTGCCAGTGTCAGTATCATTGGTCTCCAAGTTGGCGGTCCTCGGGTTTGAGTCTCGTCGGTGGAGGATTTTCAAATCTCGCTAGATACTTCGATCGAATGTGCCTGGAGGAGAATTCTAGTGGCCGGCTGCTCTGATCGGCAGTTTTCAGTGATTTTTTTCGATAAACACCAAGTGAATGACGGAGCAGTACACTAAGAAATGGGCCACGGACCGCGTGTGATCTATCCGTCCTCTTTCTTGTTCTTTCCTCCCCCCCCCTTACACACACTCACACATACTAACATGCACTACTGTCAGGGTTGCCATCTGTCCTTTTGGAGAACTTGTCTTCCTTATTCAACATTGTTCCCCCGTCCTCTCTCCTCTTTACTCGGAATGTACTCCATTTTGTCTTGTTGGATTGAAAATAATTTTAAAGTAATTTAATTCATTAAAGGAACTTCAAGTCTTCAATATCTACATTTTTTGCTCAAATACATCGCATAATAGATCATTCGGCTTATTGCGATATAAAACTTTTTTCGTGGATAATGAAAGTGAGTGCGGAGGCGAAGTTATCCAATCGGAAGCTTTCATTTTTAATGACGCAAAGTCCAATACGCGTTTTAAAGACTATTAATGGTATGGAATTGTTGAGTATATTGTCTACACATCGTGGAGTATAAAATGTAAAATGTACTCCTTTTTATTGAAATGTCCTCCTTTTGTCCTTTTTAAAGTAAAATGTCCTCCATTGGGGAAAAACTCCGGTGACCTTGCTACACTACCACACATGTCAAGTTAACAGCTTAGAGCATGTCCTGGGCGGGGCGATGTCCTGTATGGGGGTGCGTGAAAGGGTAAATAACTCGCAAGCCAACATGTAGAATCTCCATACTCCTCAGATGTGGGAAGTACACTGCCACCTTTCGAGTTATAAATAATCACAACACAAACAGGACCAATATCCGCAGCAATTAAGCAGTGCACGGTAACACCAATTCATTGATTTTCCATCTATTATTTCCTGCTTACATGCGCGTCTCCTGCTGAAGACTTTATTCCCGTAATTGTTTTCTGTTTTTATCACCCCTGCTAGACGGTAAGATGCACCAACGTCGTACACGACAGATTGTGGAGATTTACTAGTGCAAGTATCTCCCACAAATAGGCATCGCTCTAGCCGGAACATTTCTCCCAACGTGTGATGTAATGACGTAGATGTGAATATGTGTTTTAGTGAGGGGTGGGGATATGACAAGGAAGGGGAAGGAAAGATCGCTCGCGGTCCATGGCCCAATTATTAGGGTACTGCTCTGGCTTTTGCCTACATTTCATCGGAGAAATCACTGAAAACTACCTATCAGAACACTCGGCAGCTAGAAATTTCTTCCAGACAGCGGCTGAACTCGACATAACCATCAAGCTAGAGCGTGATGGGGAGACCTGCCGCCGGCTAGCGCGGTTTTCCTAACTAGGTCTCTCCCGCCAGCGGGGCAACACCCCAGCCGAGACAAGCTCTAAGCTCCCACTCGGACTCCAGGCATGTGTGTTTGTGTAGTGCATGTTAGTGTGTAAGTAGGTGATGAGGACAGGACAAGGAATAGGAAGGAAAGATCGCGCGCGGTCCGTGGCCCGTTTGTAAGGGTACTGCTCCGGCATACGCCTGGTGTTTGTTCGGAGAAACCACGGAAAACTCCCGATCAGAGCAGCCGGCCTCTGGAATTCTCCCCCTTCCCCAGACAGTTTCGCGTGGGCGTGTGCTCACCTTCTACCCTGCAGTTCCTGACCACCTCCTCCGCCTTGGAGAGGCGGCGTGGGTCGTCGGCGAAGAGGGAGCGGTAGGGCTTAAGGATCTCCTCTTCGGACGCCATGGTGCCATTTCGCATCATCCCGATGGCCTCCATCACGCACGCCATCAGGCACTGCAACAACGCATTTCAGTCAGAAATAAACACCAATACGATCATATTAATGCCAATAATACAAAAATTTTTTTGTTTCTGAAATAAATATACATACACAAACACACTACATATGTGTGTGTATATATATATGTATATGTATATATGTGTGTATGAGTATATATATGCATTTGTATGTGTGTATATATATGTATATATATATTTGTATATGTGTATATATATATACATATATATATATATATATATATATATATATATATATATATATATATAAGAATCACTTGATACATTACAAACAGTAATTTAGTTATAGCTATAATGCAATGCCGTGGTTATATATAGTAGTTTATAGTGAGAAAAAACTCATCGGTTTTTGTCTATGGAGGATCGAAAAAAAATCTCTTGGTAATCCGGATCTCAGTAATATTATCTCTGTGGCAGGTGCGTGTAACTTTATCAGGGAATCAGCAATTAGCTGAATCCGATTTTTATCTCCCCAGGTTTGTTAGCCCGGGTGTATGTAAGATGAAATGATGATAGTGAAGGGGTGAAAGGATGGCACACACATACATAAATGCACCCATACTCGAGGCGTGCCTCGAACCCGCGATCTTCTCGTCCGAGATCGCTATGGCTCTACTGCCTTAGCGATTTCGGCCATCTGATCGGCAAATAATAATAATAATAATAATAATAATAATAATAATAATAATAATAATAATAATAATAATAATAATAATAATCCGGGTCGTATTATAAATATGTGCCTCAGAATGTGCTTGAAAGTAGTGAGCACACACTCTACTGGGATCGCTCCATTATCACGGAAAGATGTCGGCGGCAATAGACCCGATATAACTTACATTGATAGAAACCATCAGCTGGTTTTCCTTATCGATATATCAATACCCAATACCCACAACATATCGGTAAAATATCAAGAGATGATCCAGAAGTATACCGATCTCGCCCATGAAGTCGCAAATCAGTAGAACTTCAGTAAAGTGACACTAATTGTGCCTATAATAAAGTAAAGTGACACCCTCAGTAAAGTAACACAAATACTGTGCTTATAATATCAGCTACAGGAGTGATCCCGAAAATGACACTTCGGGCACTGGAGTGTCTTCACTTAGATGCCAGAAATGTGTATAATAAGCAAAAGTCGGTAATTTTGAATACACGCCGTATTGTCAGAAGCCATCTGAACCTTCAGTAAAGCAACCACACACCTGGTCATCATTCCTGTGTGTGGTTGACATATCGACCAGTAGATACTGTGAATAATGTAAATAATAATAATGATAATGATAATCATTATAATAATAAATTATATTTATTTTCTATTTTTTGGCCTCACGTAGATACAATATCGAAGTCTGAAACCATTAGCATATTTGAAATCAACAAAACATGAAGGTATACGAACATATTATAACAAATTGACATTAGTTTCAACAAAAAATTGGTACTTTCAACTCGGCGTAACGTTCAGCAATCGACAGCAATATCGATCTTCTGTGAATGCGCAGTTCGATTTGCGCATGCGCAGATGTTCAAAGTGGTATAAAGTGGTGGAGATGTTGGTGTCGTTTGCAGTACGCCACACACGGCTTGAAGATCCTAATAATAGTTTGAACAACAATGAATTTTATTTTGTATAAAGTATTTTAGTTTTGTATGCAAATTAACTGTTTATCATAATTTTAAGGCAATTCGTCTTAGAAGAGAACATCGCAATGCAAAATGTAATTAATTTTACATGCAATTAATGTATGACAAAAATTAACTACCAGTACTTAACGAGTTGTCTTTGAGAAGTTATATGCAATCAATGATTAAAAATGAATGTTTTTTTACTTCTATTTGTCTTCAATTCATACCTTCAATTCATATTTTCCACTGATAAATACATGCCATGTATGTAAATGCGAGACATTACAGGGAGGCTGTTCAGTTTTCGTTTGAGAAAAGACTCATTCAATTTTGTAATTTCTAAAAATCAATTGGTTTAAATCTCACATGAACTGTTAAACATATAGATGTAGAGGTATACAAGCTTATTAATTAGTCATGTCTGCCGTAAATAATTATTAACGGAGAAATCATTATTATATCATCATTATCATGTAATCTTTTGATCGTGTGTGTGTATTCACATGATGTTGGCCTTGCACTCCTCAGACGGGTTTACTGCGGGAACAGCGCTTTCTAATAGCTAAATGTATTATACCGATATCTATGATTCCCATCGCAATTTCAGAGCCGTCTATGAAACTTAACAATGATTGCCGACAGTCCTTCATTTAAACTTACCTTTCCTACTGGAGTGACGTCCCTACTCAGATGAACAGCCGTTTCTACATCCTCTGAAAATTACAGAAAAAATACTTCATAATTTTTATACACAATAATTCAAAATTAAGAAAAAATTATCCATCAAAAATAGCAGTCAGTGAGAAATTTCGATTAAAATTATAAGTAGTCCAATTTAAGACGAATGTTTAGTTCAGTCGAACGCAATTTGACGAAACGATTAGACGAAAGAAACATTTCTTCCGTCTGCCGATGCTTTTCGGATGTCGTCGCAAGAAGTTGTCTGGGTTCACTACGACTATTTTCAATTACCAGCACGTATTAGTTACGTTGTCTCAAGAAGGGGTCGATGTCGATGTTTTAAAAACATCGATGTTTCTGTAGAAACACTGATGTTTTAAACATCAATGTTTTTTAACATCAATGTTTTGTGATCGATGTTTATTTCTTTTCCGATGTTTTGTGAACATTTCCATGATCATCATATTGTAAAAGTTAAAATATGAAATAACTGATAGTGACATTGTTATTCATGTGTTGGAACCAAAGGAACGCTGTTTTCACTACTACTGTCATCAACCAAACTCTCTCGCCCGAGATGAACTCTATGCCCGTGTGTTGCCTCTTTCTCCATGTTCTTTTTGCACGGTGAGATATGGTCATCATATACGCTCTGAGCGTAGGGACTGTACCTTCTCAATATTCAGCGAATAGAGAAATACTAACACTGTTTACTTAAAATTTAATGCCCACGAATTTAATGTTAGAGGTTACTAATCTAGTCTACGAACATCGATGGGTTTTAGTCGATGTATTTTTAACGTCTATATTTTAATTTTGAACATCAGTGTTTGCTAACATCGAAGTTTTGTCATCGATGTCGCATCACTAATCTAAAAGAACGCATGCCCCCGAAGATGCCCGCGATCATTGATATCTCCAATGAATTCAGCTGCCCTTGCTTTTCATTTATCCAATGTCGCTGTCCGTTCGCATCTCTCTTGAGGTAATTTCAAATAAAAATACTTTAAATTCGAGCTCCAAGAAAATAATACATTGTTCGAGAATTCATGTTATCACAACCAACCTGCTCTGTTTCCGCGGATATCTCGTGCCGTATTCTATATCCACCGTTTAATACTCTTAAAGACCTTCTTCAAGGTTTTGCCAATCTTCTAATGTTTTCAAGACGCCATTATTTGGGTATTTAAACCAGAATATCACGTACAATATCTCGACCACTCAGGCATCCATTTCTTACGAACCCGAGCCACTCTCTCTCTCTCTCTCTCTCTCTCTCTCTCTCTCTCTCGAACAAACTTGTATCCATAGCTACGTAACTCAATCGTCTCTTTCTTATAGTTTATACAACTTGAACAAATTCATACATTCGGACCTCCATATATCGGACTTATACCGTTCTGGTCTCCACTCATTTATATATAAGTAACATTTTATAAATTCTGGAAAAAACGTGTTTATCTTAGACTATATTTCAGTGGCAATGTATTTTCGTGGTTTTTATAAACAATTGAAATGCAGTGGTTTTAATGATGAAACAAAGCACAATTTACAGTGATATTGACTTAAATAAACATATTTCTTAGAATTTATAAAATGTCACTTATACCGTTTTGGGTTTCAATCATTCATACATCGAAATTCTCTATAAATCGAATATTTTTCTGTCCCATGAAAATTCCGTTTAAAACCGTTTCTATATATCGTAAATTATTACAATATATCGAACTCTTATTTGGACTTGACTATTTTTTCTATGAAATTAAAATGTACAGTACATACTATAAATTATATTTTCAAAAATTAGTATTGCTTGCGACGAGACTATTACTACTGCGGAAAATATAACTATATAACATTGGACAGGGCGTTTGTATAATTGAATATATGTTTATATTGCAACGTCGTGCCAATGTGACGGCTGGACCCCACATGTCTGGAGGCCGGCGAGGGGGCGGGGGCAGACGGAAGGCCACCCAAGCAGGGGGCCTCCACGAGGGGCCGTGGTGGGCGTGTCTCGGAACGCGGGTGTCAACTGGCTCAGAGGGAGATGATGTCCGAGAACAGCCTCTGGGCAGATGTATTCCGAATTGCACCGCTGCTGGCATGGGAGGTCGTGATTCCTAGAAAAAGCGGCTAGCGAAGGATCGACCGGTATTGGAGTTCGAACCGAAACGCGTTGCGGACAGCACTTGTCACCCGCCAGAGTTATCGCTAGCTACGGCTGCGAGATGTGGCTATGTTCGCCACGGGAAGAGACCAGGAGCGGCGCTAAGTTAGCCGCTGGGGCCTGCGTCAGGCTGAGGCGGGTATGCTTCAAGGATGTGCAGTGCTGGGAGTGCAGAGCGAGTTCCTCAGGGGTGTAATTATTGTATAGAAAACCTTGTAAATAAATCTGTTCGTAATATCTCCGGGTCTGTGTTTCATAACTAATAACACATAATTAATAACACATATGTTAATGTTTTAATTTTTTTCATTCTACCCTATTTTGCGTCTTCGTAGCTAGCTATTGCTCAGCGATCTCGCTTTACTCTACATGACTACGGGTTCTATTCCCAGTGAAACAAGATTATAGTGAGCATTTTCCGTGTAATGTCCCAGAGGATGTTGCCGTGTGACGATGAGAAAATTGACTTCTCAGGTTGAGAAGCCCGGAATACGGCGTGGGGATGTCTACGTGCCAACCACACGTACCCCCTTAACCCACGGCCGCGAGGCAGGGACGTCGCCGGAAGGCCTGAGCCCGTTCACGCGCCAATTACATAGATACATACATACATAGACTATTTTTCCATATTTGCTGTAATAGCATTTGTTAAAATTTAATATTTCTGAATTTCATTTGGTAACAGTGTATGAAAAAAATCAGGCATATCGAACACAAACGTCCGACATCGGCCGACCAAAATTTGGGCGCAAAACGGTACCTTGGTGTCCCCAGCCTTACGAATGAGAACAGCGCATGACTCACCGTCCGTGCCCTTTACCGTCTCTTTGCAGTGCTCTGCTATGGGCCGAATGGTCTTCTGAAAGCCTTCCGTGGTCTCCGCCTGCAAATATTAAAACATTTTTTTGTTATTTACGTCGGTAAACACACGCTTGGCTCCTTAGCAACCAACCAACAACGCTTTAAATGCGCGTCCATAGCAACGGCTGTTAAGTTGCTCGAGAGACCGTTAAAAATATTTTAGAGGACTCTCTGGTTTAGATTTTAACAGTGCTCGTACATCTTAGGATAAATATGTTTATTTTGTCTCCCTTGTCCATTTCTCCCATTTGTTGCTTTTGTCCTCATGTTCCATTAGTGTCTTTGTGCCCTTTTCCATTCGCCTCCCTTGGCTCATTTTGTTCCCTTGTCCCATTTTGTTCCTACGGCCACATTGTCCTTTCTTGTCCCTCTGTCCCATTTGCTCCCCTGTCCCATTTGTACCCTTCTCCCATTTGTACCCTTCTCCCATTTGTACACTGTTCCATTTGGCCCTGGTCCCATTATGTCCCTTTGTCCCATTTCATCCCCTTGCCCCATTTTCCCATTCGTCTCGTCAAATATATCCCCCTTTTCCCATTCTGTTAATTTCTGCCCTTTTACCAATTTTATCTCAATAGTCCCATTTTGTTCCCATGTCCTCTTTGTCCCCATGCCATCTTTGTCCTCCTTTCCCCTGCTTTGTTCCATTTGTCCCGGAGGTTATACTGCGTTTTTAAGTTCGATTCTACGATATTGTAAATCGACGAACATAAAAATGTCACTCGTGGATTGCAATAGTGACACAAATCAAAATATACCAATTTTGAGTTAATGCACTCTCCAAATTTGCAGATTGTCTACCATCCAGCAGCAACAGTAGCTTATCTTACAGTACTGTAATCCACCAACAAATGAGAGAAGTGTGAATGTAAGAATGATGCATTACTACAGAAAGTCAAATTCATGTATCTCAACAACTTATTATTTTGGTTGTGCCACTATTGCAGCTCACAAATGAAATATTTAAATAAGCGAGACTGCAAATTATGTCCAAGCATGAAAGAAATATGTAGTAATAACTAAAATGTGTAAAAATTTGTATTTATACCAAAAGATGTAAAATAACCAGTGGTGCTACAACAGCACATACTTTCTAAAGATATTGGTAATGGCTATGTAATATCACAATATGACAATATCTGTATTTCTGAAATGTTCTGTTTTTCCAAAATTGTAAAAATTAAAAATTTGTTCGGCTACTTCCTACAACTACTAGTAAAAATATACATTTTTTTCTTAATTAAATAAGTTCATCAAAATTGATCTTTAAAAAAGGTCATGTTCAATTTTTCAAAAACATGAGTATTTTGTTGCGTAATATTGTGTCAAACATAGCCATTTTTTAGTGTCTATAAATTATTTGTTCTTAAGAAGCGCAAAACATTTTTTTATTAAATTGTAACCTTATATAGCATAAACGACGCTTAAGAAAATAGTGCAGGTCTCATGTTTGTTAAAATGCTTAATTTTGCGAAAATTGAAAAAAAATCCAAATTTGTTTGGCGTCTTCTTCAACTACAATTATGAATATACATTTTATCTTTATGAAATGTATTCATTAAAACAGATCTTCCAATATGGTCATGTTGCAGTTTGGGATAAAAAAGTATTTTTTGTGAAATTTCGTAACAAACTTAATATCCAGCACCCAATTGACTGTGCTTCGTGAACGTAATAAAGGTAATTCCACCTGGATGCTTTGTAAGTTAGAATTTGTAAATTATATCACATTTCTTTGTTCTTTTCCAACAGACGAGCTTTTGTTATACGTTTAAAAAATAATATTTTATAATTTATTTAAGACCTGTTACGAAAATAAAATCGTGAAGAAGTATAACAGAAGGAAAAAAGAGTAATGAGAAATGGATAATTGAAGGAATTGAACTAGTGTCAACGTTTTTTTTCGTGGCTATTGAAAATAGAACAAAAGAGGTTAATTTAGATAATAGAAAACTTTTGTCAACCACGATCCATTGTGATCTCGGAGTTGTGGAGATATTA